ACTAAGCCACATTTCTCCAGGTTTGGATCGTGCTAAATAATGATGACATGTTATAACTTTATGAAATTGATTTTTGTACTGAACGTCCTTCTCAGCCTCTTACAACAAGTAACCAGAAAGCGTTTTATACCACACCCGTCCCAAACTCACGATTGGTTCGAAATATTTTTCTCGGTGCAATTATTTAACAAGTAGATTCCATATTGATGTGCGTGTGTTCAGTATTAGTAGAATTCTACTTAAACACTAATTTAAATGCTGCAATCTGATTGGCTGAGTGATCGTTCACTATCAGCCATTACTGTTCAATGACTGGAGGTCGTTTTCGAAATGGAGATGTTCTTTTCGGTTTTCAAACGTTTGGAACCAACGTTTTGACGCAAATGGATAATTCAATTCCGGAGAAGACTAAAAGAAGGACATTAAGGGTTCCTTGACTTAAAAAAAAAGTTGAAATTGTTGAAAAAATGATGCGCGCGCACACAAAACTTTTTAAAATTTCAAATGACAATTCAGTCCGAGCGATCTTTCATTGGCGCAAATTTTAACAATACCTTTTATACTTTTGAGTATCTCTTGCAGATTATACTTGCAAGCTGTTTCAAATCACCATCATGGAGCTTGGCTTGCGAGAAATCAAGATCAAAACCAGTGGCTCCAAGTAAAATTTGCTCAACGAGTTGAAATAAGACGTGTGGCGACACAAGGAAGACCAAACAGTGACCAGTGGGTGAAAAGCTACAAGCTAAACTACAGCTCTGATGGCTTGCTGTTTTATCAATATCGAACCAACAAAAATCAAACTGTGAGTAGTTTTCCTGATACACTGTTACTGCCCTTTTTTTTTCAATGTAGTTTAACTACTCGAAACCTAACTGACTCAGCAAGAAAGCGCAATTTAAGTAGCTTGACAGAAAATCACGCTAAACGTCCTCCTAGACGGGATGCCGGCTGGTTTATCGTTCGTTATTTCACGCATTTTCAGTTTGCAATGTTAAGTGTTCACTCGGCTCACAAAATAATATAAACATTGTTGATAGAAAGCAAGGTTGTACTGCCAGAACAAGAGAGTGAAAGACCACCTCTTCTGTACGTAGCCTAATATACATACACATACATTTCTATGTGTTTTATCAATTTCCGTCCTCAGGCTTGTGTTTCCATACATTGGCCAAACTTCATCTTAGTTTTCTATCAGGCAGCTTAATCACATGTGCAATTGTGTATTTCTTCAATCCAATAGGTATTCATTGGCAACTCAGATAGATATATGGTGGTAAGCAACGCGCTTGCGAACCCGCCAATCGTTTCCCAGTATGTTCGTGTTCTACCTGTTACGTGGTACAATTACATTTCAATGAGAGTTGACTTTTACGGCTGCATTCCAGGTAAGGTGATACAGCAGATATATCATGATAATTTACAGTTATCTGATAACGCAAAACATGATTCTTTAAGATCTCTTTTGTCTGTAGAAGCCTTGCTCGTGGATGGAGCGCCTTCCTTGGGTTTTCATTGCAATAACTTTTTTCCGTTTATTAGATAGCCCTCGGCTTTCTCTACAAGGAACAGATATTTTGACGTCATAATTTAAGCGCCCGCCATCTTGGATTTCATTGTTTTCTTAGAAACTCAGGAAATAACGTAAATTCATGGATAATTGGTTCAAAATGTAATAAAATGTAAGAAATAGTAATTCCGTGATACTGGTCAAGAAAACTAGAAAATAAACCCAAACAATTTTGCCCAAAAGATGAAATCTGTCTTGAAATCTGACATCTCAAAATGCTATTACATTACCATGGAAATATAAAATGACGTGCAGAGACAACTACCACATCAAAAATTCAGGCAGGAATGAATGAAAAGCTGTATAATAGAGATTATAATAGAAGGCGAGAAATTTCGGAGATATAATTGGTTGATAGTACCCCCTATTTCTGCGCAATAGTAATAAAACAGCAAAAATGGATAGCATAACAAGGTTACCATAACACCAATGCGCCCAATTACGTTTCTGCCTTTGTTTAAAAAAAATGGCGGTAAGATTCCTGGAAATTTCAAGGCAGGAAATACAAAGCTCGCCAAAAAAGCAGTAAACGAAAAGACATGGATGAATGTTTGGGAGTCGTGGGCGGAAAGCAAGGGTCTTAAAGACGACATTGTCAGATACGAAGCCAAAGAACTGGGCGAATGTCTCTCGTGATTCTTTGCCGAGATTTGCAAAAGCGATGGCTCTGACTAATATATGAGTGAGTTTATGTTTTGGAAAGAAATTATATTTCAGAAAATGGCAAAATATAAAGAGAGTTTAATTCGGAAGGAATGCATGTGCTTTTCACAAACATCAGAAAAATGCCCGTTATAAAAAAGCAGTTGTCTGCAAAATCCGTTTTTACATTTTTTCAAATAAAGCTTCATCTATCTATTTCCTAGACCCTCCAGTTCCGACTGCCATGTATCCTCTAAACGGTCAGTTTGGCAAACGAGACCTGAGTTCCCATGAAAATCCTCCAGGCGTCCCCTACAACGTACAGCTCGCACCAGGCCCTTTTGGACAACCAAATGGCTCGTACCAGTTCTTCGGAAGCTCCACTAGCTATATTGAGTTCCCAAACAACGGGGGATTGGACACCAGGTACTCCATGACTCTTTTAGCCTGGGTTTTTCTGGAGAATACTGATGGTCCAATCTTTCACTATGGAGTTGACTACTATGGCGTCCATTTCTGGGTTGCTGGAGGTTATTTGTTTTGCGAATTTCCCACAAGATCTGGAATCTATCTTAGTCCCCTTCACAGCGGCAAATTAAATCGAGATGCGTGGAATTTTGTTGGTGCGTCCTATGACTATCACTCAGGCGTTGAAAAGCTGTGGATCGGAGGCAAAGTGTATGAAGAGCAGAATATAAGTACAGTTGAACTGAACACTACTGGGGCTGTCAGAATGGGCGTGCTGACTGGAGATGTTAGATTTCTCAAAGGAAAAATATCTTGTATGCAAGTGTACAACAAGGCTTTGACGGAGAAAGAAGTGCACGCTGTCAGAGGACTCTGTTTTCAAAAAGGTTTGTTTGTTGTTATTTCTACCAAGTAAATAGCCGTCTTTCTAGGCCTTCAGTTTTCTCTTGTACTCGAGGAGCTCTGGCATTGGAAGTGCTTAGCTCAACAGAAATCCGTGTTCGTTTTTAGATAGGTGGCCACTGAAAATCAGTGAGAATTACACATCAATTAAGTCACAGATAGGACACCTGTTTTGGGTTGGTCAGCTTAGTTTTAGGGTGAAATTTAGTCTCCTCAAGGAGCCTCTCTCCATCCAGGAATATTGATAGTTCTAGTGAATTAAAGGGAAATCTAAAAAACACAAATTGTGCAGTAACAGGTGATGGACTACTCAATGCTGATAGAAAAATTCTGTCGCTAATTGATCACAGCCCTTTTCCC